CAAAAAAACCCTTCTTTTTTTTTTTTTTTTTTTTGGTGTCTTCGAGTCAGCATCAACTCCTGGCAAACGCCTGGAGTTTTCTTGGCAAGGTTTTTCAGAAGTGGTTTGCCACTGCCTGCTTCCTACGGCTGAGAGAAAGTGACTGGCCCAAGATTACCCAGCCAGGTTTCATGCCTAAGGTGGACTAGAACTCATAGTCTCCCAGTTTCTAGCCTGATACCTTAACCACTACACCAAACAGGCTCTCTTAAAAAGGCTTTACTTCACAAAATCTGCTTATAAAGTGGCTCTTAGTGATGAATGGGTGCTGCCTCCATCTAGCCTTCTACCTTGCCATGGAATTTTCACAGACTGTGCCTTCAGTCGTCTTTCCAGGAGTAAAAACAGTTTATTTCAAACCAAGAAACTCATCCCAAAGTGAACTGAAAAAGCCTTCTCAGAAGAGCAACCCCACCTGTTAACCTTTGTGACTGTCCAATGGCAACAGAGCATGTCAAACTATTCATTATACTTCACCCTCACAACCTCAAAGCCAACAAGAATCCAAGAGGACTCATTCACCTGATGGGGCTCATATCTGGGCGGCTAGGTTTAGAGACAGCTTTCACAAACTTTTCTGCCAGCTGAATTCTGTAACCAAAAAGAGAGATTTGTGCATGATAGGGTATTGGAAACAAGAATTAGTAGAGCTTGTATAATATGAGAATTTTCTGCAGTGACTGCTAGGCAGATATTCCCAAAACAAACATAAAAAATGATTGGATTTAATAATTCAGGCCTCTTCTGAAGAAAGGCTATTAGTTGTGACATAGTCTTCTTTCCTACAGGAATGTCTCCTTTGATAAAGTGGACAAAAAGAAAAAGTGTGCCAACACAAAGTTGGCTTCTAATTTTGATCTGAGGAGCTGTCATGAACAGTACAGATGTAAAGATAAAAGCAGCCCCACTATCCCACCAAAATATTTATGCAAAGATATTTCCAAACTTTACTTACCGCTGATTGAAATGCTGTTCTCTGACATCACTGCCATTCAGCACCAGAGCATCCAGGATGTGGATGGCATTGATTTTTCGCTGGGCTTTGCCCTAAAAAGGAAGAGAAATAGGAACATCTTAAAGTGCTACTGCTTGCAAAAGATGCACATATCTGCACATACAGGTAGTCCTCGTTTAGCAACCACAGTTGGGACCAGCAACTCGGTTGCTAAGTGAAACCGCAACTGTGCTTATGATCTTACTTCAGCTTTCCTTTGCTTTACAGACCTGCAAAGGTCATAAATGCAAGGATTTGGTCGTAAAATTAATTTTTCATTACTGTCGTAACTACAAACAGTTGCTGTATGAGGCAGTTACTAAGCGAGGTCTACCTGTACCTGCATTCAATCTCACTGTTCACTTCAGTAAGAGTAAATAACAGAATTTTTAATCAAAATATGCCCCTATCAATTTCTCCCCACAAATTTCTCTTTTATGAACCTTGAGGTTGAAAGTGCACAATTACTGTAATTTTCTGATTTTATCTTTTGACTGGCTTTTATATATTTTTGGGTTGGTTTGTTTGTTTTTCCTTTTATCAATGTTTTATTTTATGGTGTGGCTTTGGGTTTGCAGGCATGTTTAGAGTCAGAGATGTTATTTCTTTGGAATCATTATGCTTGCAAACCCAAAGCCGCTCTGTCTTAGAAGTATGCAATCTGGATCTGTTCAGCCTCCAGCCACTGGGTCAACACTTCTACCACCTCACCTGTTTGGCCCAGGGATAAGATATATAACAGAGCTTTTCTCTGAGATTTCCTTTGCTTTTTAATTATGTGATGCTTATTTTAGGAATTATACTATAGCTTTCATGCGTTTTTCCTACATCAAAGTAGAGGGAAGCACCGTCATTACTTTTTTGCCATTGTGGCCACAGTTTCTTCACCCCTGCTCTAGGCCAGTGTTTCTCAACCTCAGCAACTTTAAGATGCATGCACTAACTCCCAGAATTCCCCAGCTAGCATGCTGGGAATTGCGGTCCACACATCTTAAAGTTGCTGAGGTTGAGAAACACTGGCCTAGCCATGGATAAGGAATCTTTTTTCCATCAAAGGCTAGATCTCCTGAGGTACAATTTACTGGGAGCTATACCGCGGTTATAGAAGGGACCGGCAGAAAGCGTGGTCAGGGCTATGCCTTTGCTCTCCTCTACCTTCTCATCCAACACACTATTCAGGGAAGGAAACAGGGCAAGAACATTTTTGAAAAAAAAGGTGTCACTGACCTCTCCTTTCAGCTCATGAACAATCTCCACAGACAGAAGCGTATCCCGTGGCAGTTCTATTTTCAAGTCCAGTTTGGTCCAGCGATCTGATGGGCGACCACCCCAGGTATATATCTGAGACTTCTGCATATAAGCAAAGAAGGAGGCAGCCAGATTAGAGACTGAAGCAGCCCGCTGAGGAAACCACATGCTCTCAAACAGCTAAGAGAAATGTGCATCCAAAATCGGATGCATGTTTTAAAGAAGGATGTGAAAGATATGTCACTAGCAAAGGGGATAAACATATTCAGTTTACTTAGCAAGCCTATCTATTCCCAAGAATGTGAGACTTAATTTCACATGAGAATAATTATTATAACCGAAAGTTGATTAAATAAGCAAATGTATTTCATCAATTTATGAAACAAAGCTTTCATTTATCTTCAAAATGACAAGGAGAATCCACCGATCAAATTATCAGCTTGATAATTTTATTTATTTATTTATTTATTTATTTATTTATTTATTTATTGGTGCCTTTGAGTCAGTATTGACTCCTGGAGACTGCCTGGACAACCAGAAAGAAAAATATACCAAATCTAAAACAAATTCCATGTTACTTAAAATATACTATTTTCACCTACTGATATTCACTAATATAATTATCATGACATACCCCTAGTGACAGAAGGAACTTCTGCTCACTTCCTGATACCATGCATCTGTAATCCAGCACTGGTCGAATTTTTTCTAAAGTTTTTGAGTTGAGAGGAGTTGGTTTATAACTAAAGATCTCTATGTCAGCACCCTAAAGCAAAATTAAAAGAGAGAGAGAGAGAATTCCACAATCTTTTCCAATACAGAAATCTCCAGAGATCTGGTCTGTAACTTTCATCAACCCTGACTACTGAACAAGCTGGCCAAGCATAATGAGAGCGTCTGAAAGACACTAAGTTGAGGAAAGGTACCATAGAAGGCTAACTCTGTGACTGGCGTTAAAATATATTTCTATGCTTTATGTACTGAGATAGTGTTCAGAGCCTATTAGCACAATAAATGCATATCAGCTTACTTATCTTAACGTAAAATAACTTCCATTAAACTTGTTTGTTCTATATATCCCTTTTCCTGTGGCTTTAGAAAAGGTTCAACCAATTGCATCTAATCATAACATCTAAGTGGAAGCCTTTCACGGTGCATTTGAAGAGGTAGTTTTTACTGTTAGCCAAAGAGCAGCTGACATTAAATCTTGTTTTTGCTTTTTTTTTTAATCGTTGCTTTCTACGATGGCACCATACAGGGCATGCATCTCATCTGAATATCTTGACACACAAAGGAAAACAAAATGTTCACCTGAGTTAGCTCATAGAATTTGGACAAGGGATCAGAAGAAGATGGAGCAACTCGGGCTTGGTCTGGAATCTAGAAGGAATAAAAATCCAATTAGTTTAAAATTATAAATTCTCTACATTACCCCACTTTATATTTTGTAAGGAAAAAAAGCACAAGCCATTTTACTATAACAAAAAAAATTCAAGCAATTTTATTTTGTAGATGCTATTGTTAAATCAAAATATTCTTTTCCCACATGAATCTTCCTCCTTCCTCATGAATTCAACAAAGAACAGTGGGAATTTTCTGTTATTATAAGCTACCCATGTGGCCTTTGTCCATGCCTGCAAATTACCCAAAAGAATTCGGCAGTTCATTTAAATGTGAATGGGAACAAGAGTTCCTTCTCAATACTCTTCATACAATATATTATTAGCCCATAAAACATGCTGTCATAAAAATCCCCCAAATCCAAGATCCACGCAGAGAAAACCAAGTTGCAATGAAATTATTAGTTCCCTTCAATTATTAGCAATAAACTATATTTAATTCTGCTGCATCATCTACACAGAAATTTCAATTAATATTTATTATGTTTGAAAAAACTGCCCCTATATAAAAGATTTCAAACTTAAAATGTTTGAGAGTTCTTTGCAACTTTTCAGCTAGCAGTCTTGGTTTGAAGATATCATAATGATATCAAGATATTTTTTTACTTTGGGATAATCAGTCAAAAAAAAAATAAACCACTGTATCATGACTCCCTGCTTACAATCACATTTTTTTTAGATCAATGACACCTTTTTTATTCGCTGTTTTAGCTGCAAAATTGTACGCCATAATACATGCATCAGTTCAAGATGCCACAAGATTTGTTGTAATTATAATCATGGGGTAATTTAGATGGCAATTTTGTCCTTGCTTCCTTTCCTTTAAAAAACGAGGGACACATACATCAACTATCTCTTTCATGCCTGTAGTCAGCTGGGTCAGCCAGCAGTTTTTTTTCCTCAACAGTAAGTGCAGACAACCCAGTCCAGTTCAGAAGTTCAGAAGCAAGAAATTGTAATCTCCACATTCTGTGTTTTTTGCAAACAGGACTAGGTCTTTCTTACTCTCACAGAGATTAGCAGAACAAGCTGTCATGTGAGGATGAAGCAGGGGTTTCAGTTCAGAGAGGAAGTACTCCCCAAGTCTTCTCTGCAGTGATGGGAGTGAAAAGAAAGAAACTGGTAAAAGGATGAGATTTCACCTTGTAAGATAGCAATTCCAGCTATGTTCCAGACATATCAAGGAGGATTGTGTCAGCTGGATGAAGATGACAGCATAACTACCGTATTTTTCCGACTATAAGACGATACTTTTTTCTAAAATCCTTACCCTAAAAATTGAAGGGCG